CGATTTATCGAATTTTTTTGGGTAGTGTCGATGCAAGTTCTAGAAGAGGGTGCATGGATCGATGAATAGTAACGAGAATTTGGGTATGAGAAGCTACAAACAAAATACAATTTGTTTTCTACATTATTAAGATAAATAAAAAACAAATCTCAAGGCCACACTGTTTATTTTGTTGTTATTTGTACATTATTCAGTTACAAAAGGTGATAGCTACCAGTAAGAATTCGTCGAAGTATGATTAGTTATATATATATACATTTGAAATGTTATATTTATTTGTTTTTATATTCATTAACTAATTAAGCATTTTATATGTTTTCTGTGTTAATATTAACTACGAGGCAAATAAATATTTTATGAAATTTTACAAGCATAGATAACTTCATATTGTTATAAATGGGAAATCGAGGTAAGCGATGGACTTACCTCGATGTGGTGCACACTGGCAGTTGACTTCTGAATTCAAACCACCTTGACCGCTACCTTAATACTCACCTTACCTTCATCTCTACCATTGTGTCTGTCTGTTTGCCTCTTTTACATCTGTGAATCACTCTTCTATTCCCCCTCCCGAATTCTTCTCACTTTGATGTTCCCCCTCCCCTCTGTGAAGCCCAAAGTCAACTAAAGGGCTAATGATAATTCTCATAAAGCCTGTCATTTGAGAAAGAATTGAAGAAACTTGGAACCCTACACGTTTAATCACATTGGATTGAGAAGCATATCTCGCCATTACAATAGCGGTATAAGTGAGGTGGGCACTGGCGAATTAGACACCAACTCGAAATGATCAAGAAATCCAATTGACAAAGTGCCTCCATGGCCAGAAAGAGTATTGATAGAGCTCATAGGTTGTTAACCACTTTTGAACAGCTCCCGCTTCTACCGAAACGTCAACCTCATTGAAATCAATGCTGGATTGATTTATAAAGCGAGAACATGGAAAAAATTTATATCAAATGGCAGGCGCTTTGATAGTTATCATTATCCCTTTTACTGACTTCGGGGCTTCACAAAGAGGAGGAGGAACATCAAAGTGACAAAAGTCGAGAAGGGGGGGGGGCGAACAGAAGAGTGATTCACAGTTGTAAAAGAGACAGACGGACACAAAGGGATAGAAAAGGTAAGATGAGTACTATGGAAGGGGTCGAATATGACAAATAGTCAGGTCACAGTAATATGAAGTCAGAAGTCAACTGCCGAATAGTAGACTTTTTGCCGTATGAGTATACGTTGCCCAGGGTGCACCACGTGGAGGTAAGTCTATCGCACACCTCGCATTTAGTTGATGTAAGTAGGAACGAATTTGAGCAATTTTAGTTTGAGAATTTCCAGCAAAATAACACAGAGTCCATTTGTTTGAGCACAATTTTGCAACACTCAGTCATCTGCATTGTTGCCGGATGAAATTATTCATCAGTGATGTCTCAATAATAGTATGGGACCAATGGTGTGACAATTACAACTCTTTGATTGAGTAAATGGGCACTCTCTGAGATTAATTAAACATCATAGACCCTCAATGGATAATCAATTCCCTGACACAAGGGAGTAGCAAGTAGGGAAAACGCGAAGTAAACGACTAAGTTCGCATCGTTGAAAGCGGAAAAATTATTAATTGACAACTTAATCCCATCGAATCTTATAGAATGAACCTACCACTCAGGGGTGCAAATAATCATGGCACTTCCCAAATTATAGAATAAAAGCACTTTCCAACCTCTATATAACGACTTCTAAGAGGATACCTGCGGTGAGAAGCCTCCATCTCCTCGTATGGCCATACTACCTTTATGAAGTGACTGACTGTAAGTTCACTCAGCAGGACTGATCCAATTAAAAGCCACTCGGTTACCCATTGGTTCACTTTGCGCGTGGGCGTGAAGGTTTAACTTACATCCAATAAGATTGCGAGCCTTAGGCTCACATTGCAATTCACATTGCTTTAACAATCGAGCATCTCATGTCTTATTAAGTGCCCTGATTTCATTAAGATGACTGAAGCATGTTTCAAAAAATTTAATCACGGAAGAACTTTGAAGTTTATTAGCCAATTAGTTGATACTTACAAGAACCCATTTACATCAAGACGAATTTAGGGCGATTCTTAGTTCACCCATTGGCAATCTGGCGAATGGTCGTCACTCCTAGGTTGGAATCCTTGAATCGTCATGTTCAAACTAATTAATTTGGATGTTCATTGAGGTTGAGAAGTGACTACACAATATGCAGCAAGTTCAGGCATTAAAATCTAAAAAAATCGGAGGAATTTGTTGCATATAGTTCTTTTACAAGGTTATTATTTGCCATTAAATTTTAATGGAGTTCACGGTGCGCGTGAAATGGAACGTGTTTTCCGTTTCTTAACCCATCAAGGCTAAAAACGACCACTTGGTTTTGATTCATGAATTAATACATACCCGTTCAATTTAAAGAATCTGAACATCATGGACTTGAAATAACACTCAATATCTGGAGGGGAGAAGGGGGAGGGGGGG